CTCTCTTTACTGGTTACCCAGTACCCCCCTACACTGGTACCCAGTCTACGCCCCATACCTGGTTACCAGTCCTCTCTCTCACTGGTACCCAGTCCTCCCCCTTCACTGGTAACCAGTCCTCTCTCTTCACTGGTTACCAGTCCTCGCCCTACACTGGTTACCAGTCCTCTCTCTTCACTGGTATACCAGTCCTCGCCCTACACTGGTTACCGGTCCTCTCTCTACACTGGTTACCCAGTCCCCCCCTTCACTGGTACAGTAAAGGGGGGACTCATCAGCTTTACCCCCACTGCTCCCGCTGCCTAGCAACTTGCTGCTTGACAGTGTTGTGTTAAAAAATGAAGAAACGTCGGATGGACAGAGGTCACCTGGATCAAAAGGTTAAATCAAACGTATTTAATAAAAGAGATGGTGTTGTGGTAAAAAGAACATCTCAGCTGAGGAGCCGCTGGTCTCAGCAACCAACAGGCCCCAGGTCAGTCCTTTGACCATCCCTATTGCCCGTCTGTTGTCTCCACCAGTGAACTCAAGAACAATGGTTCCTACAGGTATTTATACCAATGTTGTGAAAGTTAGTGTCCACACCTCTGGGAGTCTTCTGGTGAGTTCACTGTAACTCGGATTTCGAATGTCTCTCAGTCAATCTAATGTCTATCAGTTGTTGTTCAAGTATTACATGCATGCATTCCAGTTGATTACATTACATCAAATACAATCATAACTGTACATTGGTATTATGCTATTAAAGTTGCAGAATTACAGTGGTTTTACAATATTGTCATTACCAGGGCTGTAGTGGAGGGTAAACGCATGTAAACACCGTTTACGCACCTCTAGAATTTGGAAATAGCGTTTACGCACCTCTAATTGGCGTTTACGCACCTCAAAGTTCCCTGCGCCTTGTATTCTTCCGTTGGAATAATCCGAAATAAACTTCGTGTAATTTTAAAACACCAGCAATGATGCAGAGAGCACAGGGAGAGGAGAAACACCAGGTCAAATAGAGAGAGAAGCACAGAGCAAGGCAGGACCTGACGTGGAGGACAAGGAGGCCCTCTGGGCACTACTGTAAAAAGGAGACTCCATATGTAGATAGTTCTTAATCTGCAATTGTGTTGTTGTGTTGACATACTTTTCTTTACTGTTTTCTTAAATTTAATAAACTACAAACTACTAACACATGTTTTCATTGTCATTGATTGTATATGACTTTTACTGATAACATAATGCAATATAGCCAGGACAGCCTTACAGAGTCGCAACGCTTTGTGTTGCGTTGCTTCGCATCGCATCGAGGTCTGCATGATCACAAAATTCAGTTTACCCACCTCTAATTTTACTACTACAGCACTGGTCATTACTTTATTGATTACACAGTTTCAGAATCATGGCTGTATTTTGGTGTACACTATATGCATTTTTGTTAATTTTATGAACCGGGTTGTCAGTTTATTTCTAATATCCTACAACAGTAAAAGCCTTAAAACACAAAAGTTCTTGCAGAGTTCATGCAGATAAAGATGGTAATCTTCTAATTTCATTTCATTTAGGAAGATATGCTTCTTAAACCATAATTCAAGTTTTATTAATGCACATGACTAATTCAGCTTCTTTCCGGGAGTTTTTTTTTGTGCTTTCTCCCCTATCAGGTCTCCGTAGATCGTGGTTCCTTCGGGACCCTGGTCCTGACACCTACCGTGGCCCTGCTGACGCCTGCTGCTGCCATCATCATCATCATCATCATCATCGTCATCATCATCATTATTTTAGATATTAATCATATTACTTTACTCGTAAACCAACATTACCCTCTCCTAAAATCTCTGTGCTCTCCCTCCCCACAGGCTTCTGTGGATGGTGGTTCTATCTGATGGTGGTTCTATCTGATGGTGGTTGTCCCTGCAGTGGTCCTGCTGTGCGCCTGGCTTACTACTCACAATTACTTGAATCATTTCTGTCATAGGAATTGCATGTATGATACATTGTTCATTCTGTACACATGGCATCCATTGTAGTCTGTCCATCCCGGGAGTGGGATCCCTCCTCTGACGTTCTCCCTAAGGTTTCTTCCCTTTTTTCCCTCTTGTAAGGGTCTTTTCCTTTTTTGGGGAGTTTTTCCTGTGCCGATGGTGGGTTTTGGGGCAGAGGATGTTGTACGTGTACAGACTGTAAAGCCCTATGTGGCAAATTTGTAATTTGCGATTATGGGCTATACAAAATAAAATGACTTGACTACTCCCTCGGAGCATGTTATATTTCATGTAGCACATTTTCCGGTTATTTTAAAGTCATCCAAATTGGTTAAGGCATGTACTTTTAGCTAAAAGTAATACTTTAATCTTAAAACAAAGTAAATCAATACAGAAAATGGAAACCACGATATCAAACACATTTATTAACTTGTATCAAGGACTTTTTATTTTTTTCTTGCATAGGATACAAGCTAATTGAACTGTAACAAGCTGAATCGTTCTCCTTCAGCGTGATGCTGCTTCCTCCTGCTCCATAAAACACAACTAAAGTTAGTTCATAATCACACCACTAAACAAAAGCAGTTTCTTCTGTGTATTTATTCTGTAACGCTAGACTTAGAAAGTGATATTTCAGGTTCATAACCTCAGCTCACTTTGAACCATTTCTGTTCATAAATATGAAGTATAAACTATAAAACCAATACGTCTACTTACCATTGTCTTATCTTAACAAAACACAAAACTGCTTTTTCCAAACTTAATTTGGCTAAGTGTTGACTATTGACAGACGTACGCAGATTCCAACATACAGGACAAAATGTTGTAGCAATTCCAGCCAAATCAAGTCCAAGTCAGTGCTGCCAATACAATATTTAAGACACAAACTTTGAGTCATTTAACAAACATTATATAGAAAATTCCATCTTTATCAATGTTCAAAGCCTGGGAGGAGATCATAAAAAGGATCAAATGTTCATGAAATGTAAATGTGTAAATGTCCCATCAACAGACACCAGTTCCATCACTAACACACGACTTGTTTTGGTGTTTTTAAAGGGGAACTTCACGTGGCTGCAGAGGCTTTAGTCAAGGACTCAGCAAAGGATCCAAGGATCCTTCTCCTCCCTGCGGTAAGTTCATTGTGAGTCATGTGTGGGGGGGCGCTGCTACCCGGGAAAGGATTCTCTCGATCTCAGGGTTTGGATTCTTTATTAGTATTCATATTTATCTACAAAAGATCAACAAACACCCTTCGGACACTTTGTGTACATTGATGACGTAGAGTTTGATAAAAGAAAAAAGTTAAAGGGCAGAGATTCCCTGTTCCGTAATAGTACAAAAGGATCAGGAAACGGGATTCGACCTCATGTTGAATGGAATCCACTTCTCGTGCATCGACAGACTTCAGTGAAATCACTCGAGCACAAGTTGTTGTATTCATCATTCCCTTTGTCATCTGAACAGTTTTATTTCATTATGTCAAATACAGCAATTCCATGTAAAGAAGAGCAACTGGAAACTATAGAATGAAGTAGCTGTACAATATATACACATCAAAACAACAGAATTGCTCTACACGTATATCCTCTGAGAGGTCAAAGAATAGCAAATATCAATCAACAACAAACAGATAAAAGTGACTGACATTAAACATTGATATTTATGATTTTGGATCCTTTCACCTCACTTCCTTCAAGAAATTCGTGCTTAATTGTTTCATTCATCGTCTTACAGGCCTCTTCATTGTCTTCTGAAGAACAAACAAAGAACACAGCTTAGTTTTTCTGTTTTGAACTGAAGAGTTAGAAAAGAGAGACTATCATATAGTCCTGCTTAACCTCACTCAACTATCTTTGTCTGTCTGATGGACAAAAGGACTGCAGGCGGGCCATTTCACGTCTGTCCCTTTTAACTAACAACAATAATAACAGCAAACCATCCCGGCTCAGGATGGTCCATTTTTGGAAATGTCCTTGTGTCAGCTATACAAACCATAATAGTTCACCTGTAGACATCTAGTGTCTCTCTCAGGATCCTGTAGGTCTGAACAAAGAAGCCTTGTGTAGTGCTGATCCTTTTTCTTCACTTTTCCTGGAAACCCATCACATTCACATAGTTCAATACTTTTCTTGAAATAGAGGCCATTTAAACGGACTTAATAAGAAAACAAACACTTTAAAAGTTAAATCTCAGACAAGCAATCCAATAGTACAAGCATCCGTACGGATGTCTTTATCCTCTTCATACTGCAGGTGTGAGTGGTGTGCGCCTCCTTCAGGCCTTGGCACTGAGGCTGAGCAGCTCCATGAAGGAGTTAAAGAGGCTCTCCAGCCAGCCCTGGTTAGCCATGCACTGCTGCACCACCTCCTCCTGCCCGGGGTCCTCCGCCGCCTGCTCGATGCTGTCCGTCTGCGCAGGGAGCCACAAGTCGGTTACTGGTCTGCACCCCGCGTCAATTCGTTCACACTGAAGAGACCATATATTTTACGTGGAAATGATGACAATCTGAATACGATACGGTGAGCAGCGTCACGCTGGGGCTCCTTCTAACCCCTGCTGATACCACAGCTTCTAACTATGGAGCCATGAACGCAGCTGGAGAGCATTAACAGCGTTGAGCGTTACAATGAAGCCAACGTGAATGCTGAGCGTTTGCAGCTTGTCACAAGGACAAAACTGACTGCAAAAGAGAAGAAACTACAGGGGAACGACTAGATCAACTATTGTCTTGACAGGCAACACTTGTCCTGAGTGGAGGATTCAGAAAGAGTAAGTTAAGATAATAAGAGATTGAATATGCCCCTTTCAGCGTTTCATACAAGAAGAAGCTATTTAGCCCTGATGCAGCCATGCCTACCTCCTTCTTGCAGTGCAGGAAGGTGTGGTACTTATAGTGGTGGAGGGAATGATACAGACTGTACATCCGGCCACTCTCAATTGACAGCCTTAGATCCTAAAAAGAAGAGAAGAAACGGTTTCTGGTATGAAGTAACTGTCCCACTTTGCCCCTTTCCTTTGTACTCACAAAAACACATAAACACAAAGTAACAAAACAGCATCGTGATGTTTCTTTATACTTGTAAGACGTGCCAGCTGAGATTATGTGTCCATGATAAAATGATGGTGGGGACGGTGACCCGCTGTGAAGGGCCTTTTCTCACCTGTTGCTTAGGAATACTCCTCTTGACCCGGTTGAGTGTTTTGCGGTTGTACCCCTCTCCGCCCAGGTGAACTTTGACAGCTCCACAATCCAGGGGGTCCGCCATCATTTTGGGGAATATATGTAAAGCCTCCTGGAGACAGGAAAGCAGAAGGCAGTGACGGTACAGCGGTCTCCATTGATTACACCCAACTGGATCCAGACCGTCCCTTCGAACAGATGTGTAGGCTTACCTGGTGCTGAACACTCATGTTGACTCTCCTCAACAGACGCTTCTTCTGTTCACCCAGCAGGCTATCAATTTTCCTCATGGGGGGCAGGTACAGCTCATCTGAGGAGGAAGTGGTGGTAGTAAGTACTAACGCTCATTGATGTTATGACGAACCGTGAGAAACCTGCAGAGGACCTTTCTACAAATCACAAGAAGAAGCATTTGTGCGTCCAGTCCATCACTGTTACACTTTGAAATCAACATGATTGACCTGTGAGGAGCTCCAGTGTCCAGCTAGTTTCAAAAGGGGTTTAGTATCATACGTGGGTCAGTGGGACGGACTATAAAGGGCTATTCAGCTGGGCGTATAATATAAGAGAAAGTAACGTAATCCTTTATTAGATCCACGCGGTTACAGCAGCAAACAATTGAAATTGTACAGGAAACAAGCTACAAAAGCTATAATGAATCCATCCATCTGCAAACCGCTTATCCTGCACAGAGGCTCACAGGGGGGCTTGAGTCTGTCCAGCCAACTTCAGGCGATAGACGGGTTCACCCTGGACTGGTCACCAGCCAACCGCAGGGCTACACAGAGACATGCAACCATTCACACACCTACGGGGAGAACATGCAGACTCCAAGTAAACAACGCCGAGTGAACAACCCCCACTTATGCGTGAAAGGGATTCAGGGTAGTAAATGTGTAGTTCAGATACCACCAACACCGGTCAAGTGCACCATCTGCCAAGACCATGAAGGGAGATGGAGGTTGCTTTTACAGTCCATTTGTCCAGCAGGAAAAAGCAAGCAAGGACTTATCCGATATGCACATGGCAGTCTGCTACACATCATGGCAGATTTATCGCAAAACACCAGCGCAGCTGTCGAGCTGTCCGTTCCATGGCTGCTAAGTGCTGCTAATCCATATCCACTGAATGAACAATCACATTCTTTTTGTAGAAACGTAGCATAACATGGATATTTTTTATTTCTTACTCATTTATGAATTAACAAACAGTTCAGGCCTCCACATCGGCCATCATGTTATGGTAGTTGACGACTGCTCCTCAATGTACATGACGTAAAAAGCACTTTAAAACCAATCCGCCAAGCAACAATAATCTGGCATAAGCAAAACACGTATTTCCAGACTGCGACTGTAGTTGACGTTTGGAAGTAAATATTACTTTCAACAACCCGACGCTCAGACGCTCCTTGGAGAGTGTGACCGCTCATCCCTGTGTGTCCCCCCCGGGCGCTCACCATCAGTGTCCTCCAGCGCCTGGATCATGTCAGGGTCCAGCGCTGTGCTGACCAGCATCTCCACGTAGCTCCTGAAGACCTCCCTCATGGCCCGGCTGTTGACTCCCCCCCGCACAGGTCCTGCAACACAAGACGCCGCTCTGAGGGCCCGGACGCACACTCCGACCCGCCGACACGTGCGTCCCATGCCTCACACGCACCTTCATCATCACTGGGTCGGGAGGAGTCTGACGAAGAGGAAGACGACGGCACCTCCTTCATCCACTTCTTCCTCTTCTTGGGAGGAGGCTCAGCCTTGTCTTTGGAAGTCTTTGCTCTGGGCCGACAGGCCATCTTTTCTCCTCCTCTCCTCTCCTCTTTCCAGCTTTCCTCCCTCCGCTCTCGCTCCTCCGGCACCCTTTTCTCTTCCTCATCGAGCCGTTGTCTCTCTTTGTCTTGTTCCCTCTCTCCTCCCTCCTTCTCTCTCTGCTCCCTCTCCTTGTGTTCTCGTTTTTTCTGCTCTTTTTCCTTTTCTCTACACTCCCTCTTTTCTCTCTCTTTGTCTGCTTTCTCCCTCTCTTTTTTCTGTCTCTCCTTTTCTGTTTGCTCCTGTCTCTCCCTTTCATTCCTGTCCCTGTCCTGTTTTTCGTTCTCCCTCTGCTCCTTATTCCTCCTCTCCCTCTCCTTAAGCTCCCTCTCCCTTCTCTCTTTGTCTCTTTTCTCCTTTTCTTTCTGCTCCTTCTCCCTTCTTTCTCTCTCCCCTGTGCGCTCCCTGTCCTCTCTCTCCCTCTCCACGTTCTCTCTTTCTTTCCGCTCCCTTTCCCGTTTCTCCTTCATCTCTTTTTGTTCTCTCTCCCCTTTCTCCCTCCTCTCTCTCTCCTTGTGTTCCTTTTTTACCTTCTCCCTGTGCTCCCTCTCCCTTTGATCCTTTTCTCTCTCCCGCTGCTCCTTGGCCTCCCGCTCTTTCTGCCTCTCCTTGTCGTCTCTCTCCAGCCGGGGTGGCGTTTGGTTCTGAGTGGAGGGCAGCGGTTTGGGCAGCGACTGCCGTCTGTCAGTGAGTGAGTGCAACAAGGGAAACACCGTGTGAACGAAAGCCTCCATCTCTCAGCGGCCGATGTTGTGTTTGTGTCGGTTCCTCCTCTGAGTGAAGAGGTGACGTTCGTGTCCTCACCTCAGAGCGAGACCGGCTCGGTGCCACGGCTTCCGAGAACACACCCGGACAAAATCCTTTTTGTTGACGTTCTCCAAGAACTTCACATACAAGCGCTGGTAGCGCATTTTGGCATCACCAAAGTAACCCAGATACTAAGGAGGAAATAGTAAAAATAACAATTTACTAAACAGTATTTTTCTCTATGAAAATATTCCAATTACTTACAGAAGAAATGAATAAGAACCATTCAAACGGGTACGTTCAAATGTCCTGGGTCACAGTTAATGAATTGCCTATGAAGGGGGATAAATCAAACATTATCTGTATGTGGGACTGTAAACGGAGCACTCAGTGCATTGAAAGACGCACTTTAGACTTCACTCATGAAAAGGCGCTAAACCCTTTTCCCATTAAGGGTTTTCCTCGTTACTAAAAGAGCTGACCAGCGCACACGGAGCCGAGCAGCCTCGTGATGGATGAGGTTGTTAAATACAAACAAACAAACACACCGTAGTTGCTATTAAACAATTGTGTCCCAACTCATTCTACGTATTGGTGTTTGCTCTGCAGGTTGTCTGAGCCGTCAGTGGGCAGGTGGGGGTCACTCACTCACTTCTCTGCTGTGCCTTTTATGAGCTTAGACTCACATGATGACCCGTCTCTAATCCTCCCAGTCCTTATGAGAGGGACGTTTCAGAGGAAGCTTTTGGGAAACACTGCCTTGGTCTGCATCAAACTAAGTTGGACGTCTCTGAATGTTCTGCGCCCATAAAGAACTGCATCCCATTAGTTCTCTGTCCAAAGCCATTTACTATCGACTGGATCTGTGGTGGTTCTGCATATAAAATGCTGTAAAACTCACGTTACTGGTTGCACAGAACTGCCTCTGACCGTCTTTGATCTCTGGGCTGAATTTCTGGAGCAAGGCTTTCTGCACCCTCCAGATGGGTGGGGGCTCCCGGCCTGTCTGCAAGGCCATCTGGGGATACCAACAATCACAGCGTACACCATTATTGTAAAAGAATCAATTCGCCATATATGCCTTCTGGGGGAACTCACCTTAAGCGTCCCGATGTCCTCAGTACGAACCACAAACTCGTCCCGTTCGCGGAAGATTCCCTCACCTCCGCTCTCACTGTCCTCCTCTTCGCTCTCCCCAGCTATGGCGGCGTCAGCCTGCTTCTTTGCCAGGTGGAGGGAGGTAAGACGCTGAGATGTTGGGGCCTCTTCTGGGGTTGGAGGTGATGGTGGCGGAGAGGATGATGAGGCGGGTGAGGAAGAGGTGGGTGAGGAGGAGGAGGGCTGGTCAGCGTCTGGTTCCTGGTCCTGGTCAGAGGATGATGGGGGAGGTGTGGTGGACGGAGGGGGAATGGACTGGCCCAGGGAAAGGTTGGGTGAGGGCGGGATAGCTGGAGGGGAGGTCGATGGGGGAGGGGAGGTGCCAGTTGGAGCCGGTTGGTAGGAGGAGTGCTGCTGCTCAGGGGGGGGGCAGGTTTGACTGGTATTCTCTGTGTCGTGCTGTGTCGGGAGTAGCAAGGGTGCAGAGAGACTTGGCAGAGGCAGGGGTGAAGGCGAAGAGTATGTTGGTGGAGTGAGGGGGGTGATAGACGGTGATGGGGATGGAGGGCCAGGAGCAGGCATTGGTTCTGATGGAGAATCTAAAAAAGAAGGGGGGTGGGTGGTGAGACATTT